CATTCACAGAGATGGCGAAAGACGCCGGCCCACCGGCGATCTTCGGTACATTTCGTCTGAGTCCGATAGTTTCTAGAACCACACCGGACACCGTGTCCGGTAGATAATTCAGAATAATCAATAGTAAAATATAATTAAAGAAATTAGATAATGTATTATTTTTTAAAACTTCGTGAAATTGAATCTTTAAAAGCTTTACATAATTTAAATATTGCAATACGTAGTAGTGTGGCGAGTACCTGGCAGTTATCAAACTTACTACCGCTCTTTTGTGGAGAAGTCGAGAAAGCTCTAAATCTCGCGCCATAATTCTCAAGCATATCATTGTTTACAGTAGTGACAATCGAAGAACTAGAACAATCATTATATGTTGTTACAATGTATTGTCACGGGTTGGACTCCAGATAATCGATTGTCAAATAAGGAAAGTTTAGAGTATTTTATTTCATTTCAAAAGTAACGATTTCAATAACATGAATAATGAGCTTAGTGAAAAATATCGTCAAAAAATATAACGTTATCCATTTTCGCTAGCCAAGGGTTTCTGATACGCTACTCTCCTCATAAACCCTTGGCCTACGGTGTTCATAGAAATAGGGATTTTTTTCCAGAGTTCTGATTGGATTTCAGTACACCCAGGTCGACCAATCAGCAATTGTTTTTTGTAAATGACGATATTTGTGTTCGGGACACATCTTCACTCTTTAATCTGGGAAATGAAAAATGCAAGTAAACAACGATCCGTAAGATAACATTCAATTCTATGAATAGCCATGGTGTCATCCAATATTTTCTAAATATGTGATTAAGAATCTATAATGAAGCTTCAGATTTGTTCTATACATAAGAAATAAACATAATTCAATTATTGCTTCTTAATTATTCTTGAAAAAAAAACTTCGATTTAATTATACCCCCCGCAAACGAAGTTTGGGGGGTATATAGGAATCACCTTGTCCGTCTGTCCGTCTGTCCGTCTGTCTGTCTGTCCGTCTGTCCGTCCGTCCGTCTGTCTGTCTGTCCGTCTGTCTGTGCAATCGTGTCCGGTCCATATCTTTCTTACAGAGGGACATTAGAATCTACTACTCCACACTAAGATTGCTCATGACCTAAGGGTGTGTCATGACCTTGACCCAAGGTCATTTTGGGAAGTTCAATGTCACTGGAAGAAAAATTTTATTATTCGTGTCCGGTCCATATCTTTCTTATTGATAAACTTGGTAGGTTCTCATTTCACACAAAGATTGCCCATGACCCAAGGGTGTGTCATGACCTTGACCCAAGGTCATTTGAGAAAGTTCAAGGTCACTGGAAGAAAATTTTCAAAAATCATGTTTGATACATATCTTTTATAGATAAACTTGGTAGGTTCTCATTTCACACAAAGATTGCCCATGACCCAAGGATGTGTCATGACCTTGACCCAAGGTCAATTTGGAAAGTTCAAGGTCACTGGAAGAAAATTTTCATAATTCCTGTCCGGTCCATATCTTTCTTATGGATAAACTTGGTAGGTTCTCATTTCACACAAAGATTGCCCATGACCCAAGGGTGTGTCATGACCTTGACCTAAGGTCATTTGGGGAAGTTCATGGTCACTGAAAGAAAAATATCATAATTCGTGTCCGGTGCATATCTTTCTTATGGATAAACTTGGTAGATTCTCATTTCACACAAAGATTGCCCATGACCCAAGGGTGTGTCATGACCTTGACCCAAGGTCATTTGGGGTAGTTCAAGGTCACTGGAAGAAAAATATCATAATTCCTGTCCGGTCCATATCTTTCTTATGGATAAACTTGGTAGGTTCTCATGTCACTGAAAGATTGCCCATGACCCAAGGATGTGTCATGACCTTGACCCAAGGTCATTTGGGGTAGTTCAAGGTCACTGGAAGAAAAATATCATAATTCCTGTCCGGTCCATATCTTTCTTATGGATAAACTTGGTAGGTTCTCATTTCACTGAAAGATTGCCCATGACCCAAGGGTGTGTCATGACCTTGACCCAAGATTATCTGGGGAAGTTCAAGGTCACTGGAATAAAAATTTCATAATTGGTGTTTGATACATATTTTTATTATGGAAAAACTTACTTCTGAAAAACCCAGCGGGGGGTATTTTGTCCCGTTTGGACAGTTCTAGTTTTTTTTAACACGTGTCTTTATTTCTGGCGATGACGCAATCTGTGTGTACCTGATAGATTCGAGAAAACAATCCCGTCTTTTGACTTCACCGTATGCCAAGGGTTTATGAGGAGAGTAGCGTATCAGAAACCCTTGGCTAGTGAAGATTAACGTTATCATATGAGGACTAACTCCTCTATAAAATTTATTACAGTGATTTAGCGAATGTTTATCAAGAGATTTAAACAGGATTTATTTCTAATCTACAATGATCCATTTTGCATTGTATTCACTAGCAGTAGCACATTGTCCCCACCCAACAGACATTTTCTTCTTCCACTGAGAAAGAGTTCCATCAATCACAAATAGATTTCAATCTTACATTTTGTTGTTTTTACAGTCCGGCAAATTTTTAGTGTGTCAGAGTTGGGCAAAGAGGTAAAAATCTGTCGGACACAGTGTCCTACAGATTGTCAAAAATAAAAAAAATTACAGGACATACTAAAAATTTGCCACTGTGTCCGACAGATTTTTCACCTCTTTGGCCAACTCTGACACACTCTGACACACTAATAATGATTGTTCTAGTTCTTCGATTTTCACTACTGTAAACAATGTTATGCTTGAGAATTATGGTGCGAGATTTAGAGCTTTCTCGACTTCTCCACAAAAGAGTTCGATAACTGCCAGGTACTCGCCATACTACTACGTATTGCAATATTTAAATTATGTAAAGCTTTTAAAGATTCAATTTCATGAAGTTTTAAAAAATAATACATTATCTAATTTCTTTAATTATATTTTACTATTGATTATTCTGAATTATCTACTGGACATGGTGTCCGGTGTGGTTCTAGAAACTATCGGACTCAGACGAAATTTACCGGAGATCGCCGGTAGGCCGGCGTCTTTCGCCATCTCTGGTGTGTCCTGTAATTTTTGTGATTTTTAGACAATCTGTAGGACACTGTGTCCGACAGATTTTTCACCTGTTTGGCCAACTCTGCATTCAAGCTACTTGTTTACATTTATGCTTGATTAAATAATACACACTTCACTATACGTGCTGTAGAGCTAAATTGATAGAGCAGTTGTTCATCCCAAACACGAGTTTTGATTTTATGTTCTCGCACTTATTAGCCCAGCTTCCTAAGAGTTATTGCTGGCTAACAATTATGGTCAAGAAAACAGTCTTGACTACATCCATTACAGCAAAACAAATACAGAACTGTTGATTCATACAGAATAGCATCTGTACAGTATTATTAACATGTTATACAAACATTATCTATGTAACTGTTGTGGTACAGATCTAATACAGATATTATCTATATAATTTTGTCTTACAGAGCTAATACAAATATTATTCTTGTAGCTGTAATGATACAAACTTGCTTGCTTGCTGCACTATATTTATATATATTCAGATAACCACAGTGGTACAATCCTGTCTACCCACATAATCATAATATTTACACTGTTTACCTATATAGTGTAACAGCTGCCAGGGTTATTTTATCCTGATGTAGATTAAGAATGAGGACTAAATTGTTCCACATTACTGTGAAAGTTTTGTTGCCTGACAATATTTGTTTCGTTCCAGGATAACTTAGCTGCAGAGCCTCAAAGACCCACGACAGCCCGGCGCCGTCTTGACAGGCAGCGGTCCGTCATCAACCAAGTGACAGACGTACAGAAACGGTGGAAGGATACGGTACAGGAACAGAGGAAGCAGATCTACGATCATCACTCACTACTCAACTAGAAACAGACACAGTGAAAAACTACTCACTCCTCATCTAAACAGATCTTAACTGAACTAAATAAAGGAAGCAGATCTACGATCATCACTCACTACTCAACTAGAAACAGACACAGTGAAAAACTACTCACTCCTTAACTAAACAGACCTTAACTGAACTAAATAAAGGAAGCAGATCTACGATCATCACTCACTACTCAACTAGAAACAGACACAGTGAAAAACTTCTGACTCTTAAACTAAACAGACCTTAACTGAACTAAATAAAGGAAGCAGATCTACGATCATCACTCATTACTTAACTAGAAACCAAATAGTGAAAAACTACTCACTCCTCATCTAAAGAGATCTTAACTAGGAACTGAACAAAATAAAGACAGCAGGATGTGTGATCATCACTCACTACTGAACTAGAAACAGACACAGTGAAAAACTGCTGACTCTTCAACTAATAGTGCTGTGTGATATTACCGGTTAACCGGTGTATCCCGATTTCCTTCTTTACAATACGTATCGCGGTATTTTTTTGTGAATACCGGTTCGGGTTCGATATGCTATAAATTGTTACAAAAAGAGTTATGTGCCCTTTTCAAGGTAAAGTATGGTGGCAAGCGACGTGAAGTGTGATCAGAAACCAGAGACATGTCTCTTTCAAAAACGAAACGACGACAACTGTTATATGAAACCCCTTCATGTTAAAGCTGAATCTGAGTATTACAATTAATTGAATTCAACAAGTTGTGCCAACAAAAAAACTTTAAATAAAACTATCTTGCCCCTTGCGCCGACATAACGCGATCAGGCAATTGGAATATCAGCTCGAGAATACATGTAATTTGAGTTTGTGTTTTCATTTAACCTTCACGAAAAGCAAAAAAATTATTAAATATTTATATCGTGATATATTGCAATACAAAATATAATATTGCAATATATCGCGATACGATTTTTCCGTTGCGATACCCAGCACTATAAACTAAACAGACCTTAACTAGGAAATGAACAAATTAAAGAAAGCAGGATATGTGATCATCACTCAGTACTAAACTAAACAAACTCTTACAGACAACTGAACTGTGAAAAATACATTCCTTAACTAAGAACTTAACTAGCTTCTGATCAAAGCAAACCAAACAGATCTGTGGCTATCACTAAATGGTAAATTCAACTGGACTCTGACCTGCATGTATAAATCATACCCATAAAAACAGATCTGTTTACATCATGACCCATAGATCACACCCAATGAACAGATCTGTGAAAAGTACCGATGGCCTAATTACACAACTCTTAATCTTAATCATTAGTGATGAGGAGGCTTACTTCTTGACAATTTTTTTCCTTTATTTATTTTTACAAAAGTCCCATCTGCTTGTATTTCTTGTTTATAGACCAGATTTGATGCAATTTTAGTAATTTGTTAAGGATGACCAACAACATGTGTGTTCACATCTTGACTTAACTTCACAATTCAAAGTTCAAGGTTACTGGTCTGTTATAAAACAGCTGGGATGATGTTAATACTCCACATGTAAATCTAGAGCCATTTGTTTTGAATTTGGCTCAAAGTTATATCATGAGAATATAGGAAAAGGGATTATACTGTATATTATTCAATCTATTTTTGGACGTGTTCATTTGAATTCTTGATTGGAATTAACTGTTGAGTATATTAATATTTCATGACCTTGATTCAAGGTTACCTCTAGAAAGTTATTGAATCATTGATATACGTGATGTATTTAAAGTTGTGTATGTTGGTTATTGACGTAGAAGTGTGCTTTGTTATTTATTATGGACCTTATGTGTAATGAATGTTATGTTTAGTTTTAAGTTTAATTCCTGTATCATTTGTTTTCATTTTCAGCTTTGTGTATTTTTGACTATGGTTATAAGAGGGGATACCATTTACTATAAGGTCTTCTGTATTTATCTATATGATCTCAGAGTTATTACATATATGTATGTAACTTATCTTTTTACATCTATATTCTTTTCATGGTTATGGAAGATGTGCACATGGTTTTCTAAGTGAATTAAGGTTGATTATGGTGTTATTCATTAAATATTGTTATAACTACAACAGGATTTATTCTTTTGCTCCATTTACTGTATAAGAGGAAATTTTAGCGAGACGCTTTAGCAATTTGTCCTTAAAAACTGGTATTTTAATTTTAGCGATTTTAAATGTTCATTAAAGAACCTATTACAAATAAAACTCAATAATTTTCGAAAAAGCTATGTAATTTTAGAAAACTCAGCACTCTCGCTAATAATGCCAAAATTAAACCCTCGCTAAAATTTCTACTTATGCAGTATGTCTTGTATTTTACTGTAAAATAGTTTCGTCATTGCTTGATTCACACTTGTATCGCAGGACCACTTTGCACAGCGCAAATAGTGATACGTGTAATATCAAATAACAAATTAGACATAATAGAGTGAAATTAAAGATGTTGATTCATTTTATGCATAGAATGGCCCTGTAAATATACCAACTGATTGATCAGCACTTGATTTTCTATTTGAAGCATTAAAATAATATAGACAGTTTATGCTTTCATATTGTATTAAAAATATCTCCTAAAGTCCAGGTCTTGGAGAACTGGCTTTATGAAATTGCAATGTTTTCCTAAATGTTTAGGTAAACAGGTATAATTGAGTACTTTCAGAAAAGAAAAATAATGTGAGCGCACTTTCTGATCTAAAAAAATAAAAGATGTCTTTTAATCCTCAGAAGCAGTTCTATCATTTACTAGTTACATATTTTAGATCAGAGGTTGCGCTCTTTATTAGATATTGCAAAATAGCTTTAAAAAGTTGCCGTTTTTGTACACTTTTTTAGAATGGGAATTGACAAAATTCGTGATGTCAGAATGCATTGACTGGCCAGAAAATGACGTCATTTTTGATAGATACGCAGTCACCAAAGATCTAAGTGATATTCAATGCATTGTTAACTAAAACTATGGCGTTTCAGATTTTCAAAAATACACAGGTCCAAATAAGGCAAAGGTAAACCTTTTTCTTTCTCACAAGTGTCGCATAATGCTGTAAAGAACAGAGGGTAAGAAATAAAACGAATGGAAGGGATGCACACTCCTCCATGGCACCTGATCCCACCTCTGATGTTTTGGAGGTCCGTGTTTGCTCTGCTCCTATTTTGTGTTGTTTTATGATCTTGAATACTGTTTGTTATCACTATGTTTCATTCCATTTCTATAATTGTTTTTTTTTAATTAAATTTTTTGATAGTTCAATCGTAATGTATATTTCGACAAGCGGAAGGTCAGTGGGAAGGAACTATTGAAAATGACATTGGAGACCATGCATAATTTAAAGGTACTTGGACACAGATTTGAAGTTAGTATTTTCTCCATAATGGCACGCATTATATATTCTAATAGCATTTCACACAAAAATTAATTAAAAATCTTATTTCATTTAAAAGTTATTAAAACTTCAAATTTTTTGGCGGGTTTGATTGATTCATCCTGGCACTTTCACATATTTAACTTTATTCTTAATTCTTCAGAAAAGTGTCAATCTTGTTGTGTATTAATGAGAAATATTAAAACTTTTATCCAGAAAAATAATTTTATTCAGAGTAGAAATGTTAGAAAACTAACCACCTTCACAAGTATCGCCATTCCGAGCTAAGTCGTGTGTGCAAATCGATCACACCCGTGTTATGTACACAGTTTTTGTAAACAAGGCACGAGCTCTGTTTTTATTTATGTTTAGATTTCACCGGGTGCGTTCTGAATCGTCACAGTCTGCTTACCACAACTGCACGGACTGAGAATATATTGTGTGTTTGCTTTGCTTTCGAACATGTCTACTCTGAATTTTCTGAATTATAGTATGAATATTTTGCATTCATACATAACAAGATTGCCACTTTTCCTAAGTATTAAGAGTAAAATTAAAATTTGTGAAAGTGTAAGGATGTGTCAATCAAACCCGCCAAAAACATTAAAGTTTTAATAACTTTTAAATGAAATAAGATTTTTAAGTAATTTTTGTGTGAAATGCTATTAAAATATATACTTCGTAATGTTATAGAGAAAAAAGCAGAAAATATTAACTTCAAATCTGTGTCCAAGTACCTTTAATTCTATTATATAATATTTATAAAATCTAAATTAGCAATTTTATTTCACAATGAAGTGAAAAATGAAAGGAATCACTGTTTAGTTTGTTGGGCATGCCAAGGACATCAACAATAGTTGGAAACGTGGGATAATTTATGCAAAACAGACCTTGTCCTTTTTGCAAATTATCACACGTTTCCAACTATCGTTTATTCATGTCAGTTTTATGACACATTACAAAAATATGGTTTGATAGTTTAATGAAAATAATTCACTTCTGTAAGTGATATAATTATGTAATACTGAGACTTTACCGGTTGTTTTTAATTGAACACTTATAATGTTTTACTTCCATGTTGATTGGTTGTATTTATACACTTGACATATAACTTATCATCAGACATAAACTGTATATCGCGACATGAATTGATCTGGATTGACACTCCAGGTTATGTAACTGGATTTGTAGACTGCTCCTTTAACTGCACGTCAGGGTGGAGTTCTCTTTGTCAGAAGACAGCCAGCTTCTATATTTACCATTGTTTTTATCCCTCACTGTTAGAGCACTTGGTTCTTGGCTATAGGAATTTCAAATGTAGATGTATTGTATCAGAACTACATGGAGACGTCCTCAATCAGATTTCTGAAGATTCTTTTCGGCAAAATTTTAAACCTACATTAAAATGACCGATATGCTGTTCATTGGTATGTCTGTACTGGATTGGTATTTCTTGGATTAGAGCAAAAAAAATTCCCGGAGCCATTTTTAATATCAGTATAGGCGATGTTATACTCGTTATGGTAATGTTGCTGATTTATGATTATGCTATCTGGTTTTTATCACGTGAATTATAATGATCAATGATTTATCACGTGATATGAAGAATGAGCCCCGCCTACTCCAGTTCATCACGTGACATAAAGATTGAGTCACTCCGGTTCATCACGTGATATGAAGATTGAGCCCCGTCTGCTCCAATTCATCACGCGACATGAAGATTGGGCCACGCCTGGTTCATCACGTGACATGAAGATTAAGCCCCGCCTACGCCAGTTCATCACATGATTTGATTATAACTTCATTATTCCATATAAATGTCTTCAGTAGGGTGGGTAAATGCCATATACTCCTGATAGAATCTCTTAAATGCATCCCTAGAAGAAAGCAAGAAACTGATTATTCGCTTACAAGAGGGTAAATGTAGAATAGAATGCATCCAATTGATACAAATACTAAGTAAACGTCTTACCCGAGAGCATCCGAGACAGATCTCGTCGATTTCTCGCCCAGAAATACATGACATGCGAATCGATAAGACGATGGATGTTTTGTGATGAACCCAAAATACCTAAAAATAAAGGCACAAGATGTGTCTTAGTGTGAATCAAACACGGCAGACATTTTGTTATCTTAGTAATCACGATTTCTTTTTGCGTAACGGGAATTGAGTACGTCTTAAAAGAAGGATATAATACAAAATCAGAGCAGAGCAAACACGGACCTCCGAAACAACATAGATGGGATCAGGTGCCATGGAGGAGTGAGCATCCCCTACTTAACATATATTATTTTTGTCAACGTTTGAAGGATGAAAAATAAAACTAACTGAATCTATCGCTTGCAAGAAAGAAAGTTTAGGTCTACTGCTCTTATCGCAACACAAAGTTTCAAAGTGTATGTAAAAGTTCTGTAGTAGAGCATCTGAAGGGTGAGCGTGAAGTCTCAGGCTCGAATCCCATTCTAGCTGATATTTCCTACCCCTTTATATATAAAATTGATTCAAAGCAACAAAACTGATGGGTGGTTTAGATTTCAAGTTAGCTTTTTTAAAGCTTATTCCTTAAGAAAAGGAGAGAATAGTGAAACGGGAATTGTGAACGTCAATCAAGTACAGCAGCTCAGTGGTAGGGCAGTTGAAGGTACAGGGTTCGAGTCTCAGTCTAGCCGATATTATCCGCCTGCTAGCATTACACAATAAACTAGTGCTAATTGTAACGGGAACCGTTACAGATGTTCCCCAAACGCTCCCCAACTCCCTTTTAGTGCCATATTCCTGCAAGTTTCATTAAAATAGGCAGAATCTATGCATTTAAGACTTAAACAACATTGCATGAGCGTAATGACTATATCATCTTGTCTACACTATTTTACTCATTGCACGTGCACGCACGTGCATGATGACCATACCTTCTTGTAGGAGTCCATTATGCCTGTCTATGTTCTTAATCCCATCTTGTTTGGTTGAAAAACAAGGGATTTATAGCCATTTTAAAGTTTAAGCCAATCAGATTGCAGCGCACGTACATGCGCGTGTTTTCATGACAATTATTATATATCATATTGTAGGACATCTTAAAGTATGCCTATGTTTTAAATTTCAAAGCATTTTGTCAGAAAACAGAAAAGATATTGAGATTTTTGTTTCAGCCAATCAGAGCAAAGTGCACGTGCACGCACGTGCATGCATGTAAATGCTGACCATACCATATTGTAGGAGTCCTTTATGTCTATCTATGTTCTAAATCCCATCATGTTTGGTTGGAAACCAAGGGAGTTATAGTCATTTAAAGTTTCAGCCAATCAGATTGCAGCGCACGTGCATGCACGTGATTTCACGAAAATTTTTATATATCATATTGTAGGGAATCCTAATGTATGACTATGTTATAAATTTCAAAGCATTTCATCGAAAAACAAAAAAGATATTGAGGATTTTGTTTCAGCCAATCAGAGCAAAGCGCACGTGCATGCGCGTGAGTTCATGCAAATTTGACCATGTAATCATATCTATACATCTTATACATCCTTATATAATGAGTTTCAAAACATTTCATCAAAAAATATAGAAGTTACATCCATATTAAATATATCAGTCAATTCACTCATTTCACGCGCACGCACGTGCATGCGTATGCGCGCAAAATGACCTTCGTTCCGCACACCTACACTACACACCTATTAACCCTAAAAAGGTTTTAGCTCAGTTGGGTGAACAGTTTCTGAGAACACTCGCGGACAAAAAAAGTACCGGAGAAGAAATAAGAAAAAAAATAATAATAACTAGAAACGAAACTCGTTGCGAGCAACGAGAGGTCTTCCGTCCAATTCAGATAAAAAAACCCGTAAAATCAAATTGAAAAATTGATTTTAAAAATCGGACACACGGATCGCCAACGTGAAAATCCATTCCGGTACCCATTACACCTTTGGGAACTCGCTTCAAATTTAACATTCAAATATCGCGAGATTGCTTATTTTGATTCCAGCATACATTACATTTTTTTTTAAATTCAGTTTGGAATTGTAAAATGACAGCCAGCTTGCTAAACTTTGCTCAAGATGATCACATCGGAATCTGTTACTTGAGTTTTAACAGTAACTTTTAGGTAGATAATCTATTAGTGATGAACAGATGATACTGTTTTCTTTTCTTTTTTCGATATGTATTCAACTTTTTATTCCATGCAACTCCATAAACAGGCATGCCAATGTTATATATTTCTACACTCTTGTCACCATTTGTCTAAGTACTTAAGTCGGGTCACGATACATTATTTCATCAACGTCACAAGTAGTTCTTAACGCTATTCCTTTGAAATATTTGATCTATTTGATGGATTTGATAGCTTCAATGAAAATTAGAAATGTATGTTCTTATAACCGGAATTTCGAGCGTTAGAAAGTATATTTTAATTATCACATTATACAAATATAATATCGTATACGGCCAAGTAACACTAAAGTGTTTTCCACGAATTTTGTATCCTGTTTTTTCCCCAAAGTGGAGATGAGTTACACGTTCATGAAAAGACTGGAATGTTTCACTGAAAAAAAAATCACTCGCCCTCCGACAGTCAAGGAATGTGATACTATTTATGTTCAATAACTTGCATTTATTACAAGAATATTTATACCCGGTATAACCTTTAATAAACAATCTTTTAAAAAAATGTTTTTCTTATTTTTGTCTTTTCTATTCATTTAATATGTCACAAGCCTGCGTGGAAAAATAAACAGAAGGCAAGTAATACTTCAGAAACATAGTGAATATTAAGTCAGGGCAAGTTTCTTGAAAAGCTATTACTTATAACCATGGTTTAGGATAAGTTTTCCCTGCTGCAAAACAAAAGATTGTTGTCATCGTATTTCCACTTGTAGTCATGTTGTATTCTACTTTGAGATGCAGACAAAAGCAATTTCAATAGACGTTTGAGGAAAACTCATATTAAAACAATACTCAATGCAACGTAACTGCGATGTAGCAATTTAAAGAATCCTTTACATTTCATAAATCTTTTTGGTAGAAGTTTCGTTCATCTAAACGCTCAGCTGACCTTCTAGAACCCGACTTGCTTAATGGCGGAGTTCACGGAGACGCCCCGCCATCTTGGACACGCTTCAGATTTTTAAATGCGAATATCTAGTGTGTGGATTGATCAATTCTTAAATAAATTATATATTAGGCCTTTCCAGTAGGGTCTCCATTAACATTAATTATATCAAAGAAAAATATTGAAAAACAAAAAAAGTTGAAAAAGTGCACATTTTGAATTCACTTCCTGTAGCGACCGGAAGTACTGACGACGCAAACGAAGGCAAAATTGCACATCTATAAGTCATGGTCTATCATCTCTAATAAGTCTCCAGTTAATATCTTTAGCCATTTTCGAGAACACTCGAAGACAAAATTGTATTTTAAAATCAGGAAATTGCCCATAACTTGGCATTGGTACCGAATTTTCCAACAAACGGAATTTTATATAAAATTCATATAATGACCTATAATTCCTGATATTTTCATTGAAATCGACCGAATAGTTTACGAGAAATCGCCTGCACAAAATTTTGTCTAAAAAAAAAGAATAATAATAATAACTAGAAACTCTTGTTGCTACAGCAACAAATAAGGTCTTCCGTTCTCCTCTTTTATCTGTAAGAAGAATATTTTTGTATTTAAAAAAAAAAACAAAATGGAAAAAAAAAAAATATCAATTCCTCCATCTGGTCTCAATCCCAAAACCATTAGTATGAAAGTCGGACACGCTAACCACGGAGCCACCAACTTCCGCAACATTAAAGGTATTTTGTAAGCTTAGTATTTTAAGGTTGAAGGAAATAGTTTCGAAGTGAAAGAAATAGTTTCGTAGTAAAGTCCCGGTCAAATTTCTTAAACAACTGAGATATTGGCTGTTTGATGTGATATTGTATGTAGGAAAATGATTAGAATAATTATGGGACACATTTGCAGTGAAGCAGTGACACTTAGCATATACAGAGTTGTAAAGCGAAACTAATACACGTGGTCAGTTGCAGAGTAAATTCAAAATCCCGGAAAAAGAGTGAGTGAGTCATGGGCATTTTTTCAACACCGTATCGTATCAAGCGGGGTAACTGCAATTGACCTATCTCAATTGCGTGGAAGTTTAATTGATATGAAAAATCGTCATTTCCGAGTTTCAGCCGATTCATATTTAAATCTAAATAAAATTAAAATAAATTCCATACACCTAAGAAAGCAAGAATACTTGGTATTAAAATGACGTAATAGAGCAGGAGAATCGAATGATATTAACAAAAATTGCAGAAATAGCCAATACGAGTTTTAATTAATTTTTATGCTAAGCAATAACTTAATTTCAGACAGAAAAAAAAAATGCAGATTTTGCCGATATTCACTAGAATTTCAAATACTTCAGAGACTCACCTTAAAACTCTCAGGACACTTTCTTTCAGGTCTCTTCTTTCTTTTATTACGAATCTTATGCCGATATTTCGTTTCGTTTGACTTGTAGACATTTTCTCTAAGTTGGTATTGATTGTTTTGTTTTGTTTTTAGAGAAAGGAGGGGATATTTTATAAGCATTTGTTAGAGTAAGAGTTGCAAATACCTCCACGACCGTAAGCTTGATTGTGACCTTTGGGTCAATGGGGCCAAAGAACAAGGTCATTTATCAAGGTCAAAGGTCAAGGTCATCAGAGAGAGAGAGAGAGAGAGAGAGAGAGAGAGAGAGAGAAAGGTAAACTTGAGATAAATACTTGAAACTGAATCTAGAAAAAGGTAATGAATATTTCTTTATTTCTTTTTGAGTAAGGGTCAAAGGTCTCATTTTAGGTTTCTCTAGACATTTTCAGTCTGAATAACATGTCCCGAAATCATTTTAAATACTCTTTTTTATAAAAGATATTTATGGGATGGTAGGAAACTCAATTTATGCAGTTTTTCTCTCATAACCGGAAGTCGTCGTTTTTGTTTCCAATGGAACTGACATATTTCGAAACTACTAGTAAGAAGCTATAAGGTAATACTAAGAAAAATTCCATAAAGAAAAGTTGAAAATTTTGATTTATTTGATCACTTCCTGTGACAACCGGAAGTGACGGTGGATGATCTAAAACTCAAAGGATTTGTCTACTTATCAAGGTCTACCACCCCTAGTAGTTTGGTGTCTTAATCTCTTACCGTTAACGAGATCTAGCAATGATAACTTCTGATATTGAGAACAGGAAGTCACGCGACCGGAAGTGAATTTTACTGAGATATTAGACATTACTGTAGACATTTGCAGTCTGAATAACATATCCAAAAATCATTACAAATACTTTAACTATAAAAAGTATTTATGGGAAAGAAAAATACTCAAATTACCGGGTATGTAGTTTTTCTCTTTTAACCGGAAGTTGTCGATTTTGTTTCCGGTGATACTATCATATTTCAAAACTACAAATAAGATGCTATAATATGATGCAACAAGTTTCTATAAAGAAAAATTGAATTTTTCGATTTCTTTGATCACTTCCTGTGACAATCGGAAGTGATGGCGTACAATCTTATCCAAACTGGTTTTGCCTACTCATCAAGATCTACCACTTAAAACAGTTTGGTGTCTTAATCTCTTATCGTTTACGAGATCTAGCTATGATAACTTCTCAATTTCAGGACAGAAAATCACGCGACCGGAAGTGAATTTAACAAAGATATTTGACCTTCCTGTAGACATTTGCAGTGTGAATTACATATCCAAAAATCGTTACAAATATGTCATGTATAAAAAATATTTAGGGGAAAGAAAAATACTAAAATTATGCAGTTTTTCTCTTAAAACCGGAAGTTGACATTTTTGTTTCCGGTTGGACTGATATATTTTAAAAATACAAATAAGATATCATAACGTCATGCCAAAAAAGTTTCATAAAAGAAAATTTGAAAATTTTGATTTTTTGGAACACTTCCTGTGACGACCGGAAGTGACGGCGGACAATCTTATCCAAACTGAAGTTGCCTACTCATCAAGATCAACCAATTGTATAAGTTTGGTGTCTTAATCTCTTTCCGTTTACGAGATCTAGCTGTGATAAGTTCTCATTTTGAGGACAGGAAATCACGCGACCGGAAGTGAATTTTTCAAAGATATTTGAGGTTACTGTAGACATTTGCAGTCTGAATAACATATCCAAAAATCATTACAAATACTTTATCTATAAAAAATATTTATGGGAAAGAAAAATACTCAAATTTTGTAGTTTTTCTCTTATAACCGGAAGTCGTCGTTTTTGTTTCCGGTGGGACTGACTTATTTCGAAACTACAAATAAGATGCTATAGTGTGATGCAAAAAAAGTTTCATTAAAGAAAAGTTGAAATTTTCGATTTCTTTGATCACTTCCTGTGACGACCGGAAGTGACGGCGGACAATTTTAACCCAAATGGACATGCCTACTTATCAAGATCTATTACTCATATAAGTTTGGTGTCTTAATCTTTTACCGTTTCTGAGATATGACTCAGACAAAATCTTTTTGAAAAAAGCGGAAATCGTAAATATCTGACGACCGGAAGTGAAATTTGAAAAACTGGAAACTGCATCTGAAAGATATTTTGACTCTCTATCATCCCTGAAAATTTCATGAGAATCCGTCCTGTCATCTCTGAGAAATCGTGCTTTTAAAAAGGGAACAAAAATAATAATAGGAAAAAGAAAAAGAAACAGAAGAATCACTATAAGGTCTTCCGTCTGAAACGGAAGACCTTAATAAGAAACAATAGAATCACTATAAGGTCTTCCGTGAAGACGGAAGACCTTAATAATAATAATAATAAGAAACAGAGTAAAAACAATATGTTCCCAAACTCCGTTTGGGGAACATAACTATCGAGATTTATCTTTTAAATACAACTTGCAGTAATATATTGTTATTTTCTTTATTTCAATATACACAATTTACTCATACCTTTCGTTTCGAGGGTGAAATCCACAAAATGATATATTCTTCAGGGCAAAGAAATGAGTGAAATGGTCGTCTGTTTCATGCTGAAAAGAAACAGGATTTGCAAATACAATGC